TTTACCCCCGACTCTAAGTTCTGCCAAATGGCTCAAACTACTTGACAAACCAGTATGTTATACTCAGATATTATTCCCCTAATCTATGTAAATGAAACTATTTGTGTGGTAATCTGCCCTTCTACAAGATTCAAGTCAATCATTTTATAGCCTGGGATGAATTATCTGGTGCCAAAATTATCACAAAATGCAACTTATGGATGAGGGGCCTGGTGCCATTCTGAATTTTAAGACATTCCTTTCTTTTCATTAACAGACTGCGAGTGACTATATAACATACAGCTAAAGACTAGCAGGGGCATACTCTTTCTGCCCCCTTCTGATGCCTATGTCAGAAGCTTTCTCTATCTCCTTTATACTTTAATAAAACTTTATTACACAAAAGCTCTGAGCGATCCAGCCTCGTCTCTGGCCCCGGATTGAATTCGTCTCCTCTGGAGGCCAAGAATCCTGGCGTCTTATCGTTCAGCAATAACCTTTCAGGGGCAGGAGGAGAAGGGGACAACAGAGGATGAGATGGCTGGATGGCATCACCAACTCAATGGACATGAGTTTCAGTAAACTCTGGGAGTTGGTGATGGATAGGGAGGCCTGGCGTGCTGCAATTCATGGGGTCACAAAGATTCGGACATAACTGAGTGACTGAACTGAACTGAACTAAGTACTATGCCATAGGTTTTTATTAATTAAGTGTAAAAAAAGCCAGAACTTAGGCCATGGGAAAACCTGACAGATACTATTTTATTATGTGAACAACAGTGCATAACCAATAAAGAAGTAAGTGACATGATGTGGCCTCCCACCTTCCCAATGAATTTCAGTGGGAAACACAAAGCACCTATGTAGTTCTCTTGCTCAATCATAGCTGGAATCTAATTTCCAGAGAACCAGCTTGAAGAATGTTTTACATGAGTATTGGCCTGGACACTTCACAAAGTGAAATGTACTGAAAGAAAGCAAAGAGGGAAAAGAGAACTCGTAATGGAAGACTAAAAAGTAAAGATAGCCAGATTTCATGCTTGTTCTTTGGCTGGATATTGAATTAAAAAGGGGGAAAAAAGACTATAAAGGATATTTGAGTAAAAGTGGGAAAATTTGAAATACAGGCTGGGGGGACCTCCCTGGTGGTCCAATAGTTAAGATTCATGCTTCCACCACTTTAACACCTAAAGTTATTAATAATTTTAGTCTGTGTCAATGCCCACATTTTACTTAAAAGGGAGGTGTTATATCATCCCAAATGTCCATTAGGAGAAGGATAAACTTTCTGTGGAAGAATAAAAATATCGTCTGAAACTCAGCATTTTCTCATTTATAACAATTGATACTCAACAAAAAGTTATTAGGCACTTCAAAGGCACAGCTAGGTGGCCGCAAGTAGAAGAGGGGAAGACTTATAAAATATGCCCACATCAGGGAATATTTCTCATCTCACTTTATAAGGACAACATCATCTTAATATCAGAAATCTGACAAGAAAAGGAAGAAATATAGTAGACCAAAATTCTTTACTCTAAACAGAGAAGTTCTGAACAAAATGTAGCAAACCAAATTCAGCTGTGTATATACTTATAATATGTATATTTAGTGGAAAATTGAGGCCATACAAGCATAGCAATAGTTGCAGAAATCAATGTGAAAAAATTGTATAGCAATTATAACCCACAAATCATAAAAAATAAAGAAGGTAAATTTTCCTAACCTAATTTTTAAAATCTACCAAAATGTACATAAAACATGCTCAGTAGTGAGAGTTAAGTTAACCTCCACTCTCCTGTAGATCAGAAATGAAACAAAGATGAAACATGGATATTAACCCAGATTACAGGGCAATGTATATAGAAATTGCAATTAATTTAGAGAAATATTATTAGTAATGACTTCAAAATTGGCAAGTTTCCTACCATTGAAATAATCAAATGATAAAAGCTGATTATATTCCCACATTCCAGAAAAAAGAAATAGAAAAGAATAAAAATTTTATAAAAGCAAGAATAATATTGAGCACCTAGGGTGGAAAAAAACAACAAAATATTTGCAAAGCAATCAGTACCCTGAAAAATTTTGAGATAATTATAAACCCCCCAAAACTGGAAGTATATACCATATTTATTAACACAAAGATAAAGTGAGTCATGATGTTAAGCCTTTCTAAATAGATCAAATATAACACTGATAAAAATTCCAGCAGAGAGCTTTGGTAAATTGACAAACTGGTACTAACATTGTTTGGAAAAGTAAACAGCTAAGATCAGAAAAACAACAAATCAGAACAAATTTGGAAGACTTACACTGCTACCTGTCAAAATCTGTTATAAAGCTTTCTAGACTAACCTGGAAACAAAACACAAACCATTGAATTGCTACACATATGATTTTTGTGCTTCTCTCATCTGTGTTCATTAAGGATTGCACCCATACCATGAAATGGGAATACCAAGACCACTGAAGTCACTGTAAGAGAAATCAATCTAACCTTGGGGATGATGTAGTTTCTGAATTCAACGTCACGGGTCACCATATGGGGCAGACTAGAAGGGACCAGGTCAATGTATCTCTGGATCTCGTGGACCACAGCATCTGTGTAGGGCATGTGGCTTCTGTCCTGCATGCAGGGGCTCCGATGTCTTCCAATCACATGGTCAATCTCTTCCTGGACCTTAGCTGATAAGAGATAGTATGACTAATGCAAAAAAGAAAAACGCATATCATGTTTGCATATGAATTCAGGGATCAGTTCAGTTCAGTCGCTTAGTCATGTCCTACTCTTTGCGACCCCATGGACCTCAGTACACCAGGATTCCCTGTCCATTACCAACTCCCAGAGCTTGCTCAAACTCATGTCCATCGAGTCAGTGATGCCATCCAAACATCTCATCCTTTGTCGTCCCCTTCTCCTCCCACCTTCAAACTTTCCCAGCATCAGGGTCTTTTCCAATGAGTCAGTTCTTCGCATCAGGTGGCCAAAGTATTGGAGTTTCAACTTCAGCATCAGTCCTTCCAATGAATATTCAGGACTGAGTTCAGGGATACACGAAGCATTATGAAGGTGTTCCAACATCATTATAAACTCAGTTAGAACTTCCCTGGTGGTCCAGTGGATAAGAATCTGCCTGCCAATGCAGGGAGCACGTGTTCAATCTCTGGTCTGGAAGATTCCATATACTGCCGGGTAACTGAGCCTGTGCCTCGCAATTATTGAGCCTATTTGTTGTTAACTACTGAAGCCTGTGTGCCCTAGAGCCTGTGCTCCACAACAAGAGAAGCCATCACAATGAGAAGCCTGAATACAGCAACTAGAAAGTAGCCCCCAGTCGCTAAATTAGAGAAAGTCCATATGCAACCAGAAAGACCTAGCACAGCCAAAACTAAGTGAATAAATAAAGAAAAATTTTTAAAAAAATTCAGTTACTTGCCCAGAACTATACCCAGACATAGAGAGAAAATGACCATAATATAGATGTATGTACGTTTCCTAAAAACTAGGTTTAAGTTACATCTATATGCAAAACAGAAAAGCAGACACAGATGTACAGAACAGAATTTTGGGCTCTGTCGGAGAAGGCGAGGGTGGGATGTTTTGAGAAAACAGCATCGAAACATGTATATTATCAAGGGTGAAACAGATCACCAGCCCAGGTTGGATGCATGAGACAAGTGCTCGGACCTGGTGCACTGGGAAGACCCAGAGGGATGGGGTGGGGAAGGCGGTGGGAGGGGGGATCAGGATGGGGAATACATGTAAATCCATGGTTGATTCATGTCAATGTATGGCAAAAACCACTACAATATTGTAAAGTAATTAGCCCCAAACTTATAAAAATAAATGGAAAAAAAATTAAAAATTAAAAAAAGATACATCTATACATATCTCTATATTAACATACATGATAAAACAAATGATGAACTGTTTTAAAACATAAACAGAACATAACCTCAAGTCATTACAGTCCTTGCTGAAAGAAAAATAGGAATCAGATGTTAATTTTTAATAATATAAATTATTATATTTTATAATAAAAATTCTTATATAATTTTTATATAAATATAAAAATAATATAGAGGTAGAAAAGTTAAATTATACATGTTTTTGTGTATTTGTGTATTTGCACAATTTGTGATGGTACTCTTTTCATCTTCCAATTTCCATAAGCCACCACACTGAGTATTCTAGCAGTTTCTTCTGAAATTGATGCTATATTTCTAAATAATAATTCACCATTTCTATTTTTAACATACCTATTTCTAGACAATATTGTCCTATGAGAGATGAGAATTTATTAGTATAGCTCCATCTCTACTTAATACAGAACACACATTGCACACATAATTCCTGTTACTCCATCTCCCCCAATATATTTAGATCACAACTTTTGGCTGTTAGAATTTCATTTTATCATCATTCTGACTACATAAACAAAGCTTCCTAATCAGAAAACTATGATTATGTTTCATTTTTTGTATTTTTTTGGACTTAAATATGTCTTTTTATTTCGTCTTATAAATTTCTGCACCTTGATCTAGAACTATTTCCAAATACTGAGATAAATATTCCAAACTCCAAATAATAATTTCCCTTTTATAAGGAAATCTCAGATCATCAATCACTTCTCTTTTGTTTGGTGTCTCCCTTCATAGCTGCTTTATCTATATAATCCATTTTGAAGTGGATATTTTCTATGCCTGATACCTAGCAATAGTCCTGACACTTTCCTTCTCCTTCATGAGTTCTTAAGATTTCTGGAGCCATGACTTCTTCTTTTTTTTTTTTTTTAGTAAAAACAAATGTATTTTATTCAGGTGAGATCTTTCATAAACTATTCTCATACTATGGGAAATTTAATCAAGAACAATTCCAAGATTTTTTTCTGGGAGTAAAAAAAATTACGCAACATTAAAATCTTTCAATTTGCAAACTTTAGTAGTTAATGAAGGCCGAATCTTATACAACTCTCCTGAGCCACTGAGTATGCCACCATTCAAAAAACAAATCTGACAAGCCAATTTATTGTCTCTATAATTAACAGAAATAAAACTTACAAATAACTGGATTAACTCTGTGTCACTACAATGATCACTTTTAACCACATTACACCCTCAATACAGTTGAGACCATCTATTTGCATGTAGCACTTTCTAATCATCTTTTTAAAGTTGGAATTTTTTTTTTTTACTTTTTTTAATCCTGATAACCAAAGGACTGTATTTTCATAAAGTACCATTTTAAAAAATAAACTACAGCAAAGGCAAAACAAACCCTTAAAAACCTAACAGCTCTGTGTTTCTCTCCAAATAACTGACTAGCACATTTAAACAAGTGGATGTCTTTTAAAGGAGGCCACCAGACTAAGCTGGGTTATTGAAAAGCTCCAAGTGTGGCAGCATCCGTAACTGCAATTCTACAACAGGGATGTGGACGTAGCTTCCCTAGAGTCTACGCCTGGTAAGCACATACTCAGAGGAGCTATGAGGCTCTCCCAGTCTTACTGAGGTCATGCCAGCTAGGGCTGCTGGGTGAAGGAAGAATCAGTCCACCTTTCCAGCCTGTGAGGTTATGTACACTTACCTGATTTCATCATTATGAACACACCTACAGCTACATCTGTAGGCTACCAATTTGTAACTGCACCACAGTGAGGTACTCGGCAATCTTTGGTGCTGTGCTATGATAACTAGCTGACTTTTGATGCTGCTGCAATAAAAATTATTTAACTTATAGGACGTAAGGGATATTGGAGTGTTCCACAAAGTAAGTAACACTAACACTGATCATTGTGAAATTTAAAAATAATGTAGAAACATTTATACCTACTACTATGTGTCCAACAATGCTGACTCATACAAAATTTTCATTATTATATAAAGGCTTTCATGATGCAACTCCCGGGCTCTTAAATTTTAAAAAGTACAGAATAAAATTCTTGATCCTAAATTTTTGTCACTGCTCCTGAGATTTATGACTGAAGTAAGAGAAACACCCCAAACTGGTCATATTATGAAATCATAAATTCAATGGAAACCTGCTTCAAAACTACAAATTATTTCAGACAAATAAATATATATGTTCACATTTATAAAAATTTCCACATTACTCATAGAAACAAGCTTCATAAAATTTATATACTGAATACAATAAAAATCAGTCCTAATGAAGATTTAGCTGTTGTCCTTCTAAATAAAAAACTCTGTGTTTGAGGTATCTCTTTAAGACATGCCAATATGGCACATTTGTAAAACAACCCAGGAGTCTGTCCTAAAAATCCTGCCCAACACAGCATCATCTCTACCAGACTTACAAATAGGTTGAACTAGACTTGTCTTTTTAAACAAAGAAGAAATATTTTGTTACAAAAATAAAGGAGGCAGGTACTAGAAACTCTGCATCTCAGAAAACAGTGAAATTTTCTTATAAATATTTTCATTATCATATTCCTGCTGACACCATTCATTTAAAAAGTTCTAGTCAAGACCAATAAAGCAGCTTCATCTCCTATGACATCCAAAAAAAAAAAAAAATCCAAGTGAAGAATTTAATTATCTTAATAGTAATATATTATCATAGGATATAAAGCTTTTAAAATTTTCAGTGTCAAGCCTACCTTGCTTTATCACTGGAAGATGGACACTTAATCCAGCAATATTCATTTACTGCTAGGTAGACTGCCTGTGTTGACTGTAGAAAAGCAATTTACAATCAGCTTATGAAGTAATAACATTAACACAGAAAGGAATATCAAAAATGATGAGTTTTGTTGCACAGATATCCATACTTGGGGCATGGCTATCAAGTAATAAGACTGATTCAATACTCTATAATCATAGCACATTAGAATATTGTCAGACATTAATGGTCCTATATATGAAAAAATGTCTATATGGAAATGGCTGTGATTTATTGCAAAGCATAATTATATGGCAAATTTCAAGGTCAAATAAGGTCAAATAATTTTCAAAACTAAATTTTTAAATTTAATAGCTCAGGCCAGTCTCAGTTACTTTTTGGAGATTTCAGAACTGTTAGGGGCAGAGGAATGCTTTTCCTTTTTTCTCTTCTTTTTGTCCTTTTTGTGATGCTTCCCTTTTTTTGACTTACTCTTTTTCTCCTTTTTCTTTTCTTTCTTCTGGTATTTTTGCTTCTTTTGTTTTGAAGTGTCCTCTTCAGTGGAACTAGATGAATAAGACCACTTCCTTTTTTTTTTTCAACTTGATTTTCTCTTTGCTTTTTTCTTTTCCTCTTCTTCATTAATTCTTTTTTCTTGCAATGCTTGCAGTTTATTCAGTTCCTCATTTTCTTCATCACTCTCTTCACTGCTTGTGCTGCTGACATCCAAAACTATATCCCTTTTGGGATCTACTCGGAGAAAATTGCGGCATTCAAAAGTCAGGTGACCAAGGTAGCCACATTTTTTACAGCCTGCTCGGACACTGTCCTTGTTGCAACCTGAAATTGCCATGGCGTTGGTAAGAGGGGTCGCAGAACCCCTAGGCTTCTAAGGGATCGCTCGCTTCCCGCTGGCCGCGAGGACAACACCCAGCCAGGGGGCCGTCTGTCTCCCACCTGCGCCGCGGCACCCGGGTGACAGGAGGCGAAGGCCCTAAAAGCCCCTGGAGATCGCGGAACCAAGTGCCATGGCTTCTTATGACGTGACTCAGGCATTTGGATGAGAAAAGGGAGAGTGGGTAAAAATTTTGTCAAACACACTGGTCTGAAAATACCCTTTATAAAATCAATACCCAGTTTGATAGTTGCTCTTGAATTCTGATGCTGTTGTGAACTCTAATCCTTTATCTATGACCTGCTAAATTTCTCTGAAAGTTTTTGTGATTTTCTCTTCTATCCTGGTGTTCTGAAGTTTCACGACCCTCTATCTTGGGGTGAATGTTTTTATTTCATTCACTCTGCTAGACACATTAAGAGAATTATCTATCTACATGGAAATATTTGGAGGTCTTTTCTCCAGAGTGTTCACTCTCTGGAGTTATTCTCTTGCTGCTGAATTTCAGGAAGCAGGATGCAGAAAGGAGCTGAGTCTGAATTCAAGATGTGGATTCTTCCCTATACTTTCTTCCATGCTGTGACCTCACTCTTTCCTCCTGTCTCTGCCCAGTGTCCTGGGCATAGGGCCTCTTAGATTCCACTTCTCTAGAGAGTAAACCTCTCTCATCCTGTTGGGGGAACACAGTGATTTGATAAAGTGAAAGTGTTAGTCTCTCAGTCATGTCCCACTCTTTGTGATCCCATGGATTATATGTAGCCTTCCAGGTTCCTCTGTCCATGAAATTCTCCAGGGAAGAATACTGGAGTGGATTACCTTTCCCTTCTCCAGGGGATCTTTCCAACCAAGAGATTGAACCTGGGTCTCCTGCATTGCAGTCAGATTCTTTACCTTCTGAACCAGTAGGGAGTTGTCAAAGAGTTGTGGCTAGGTGAGCTACATTTATCAGCTTTTGTCTCCCTCTATTCTGTTTGACACCTGCTACTTCTAAATGCTGAAACTTACAGAATGGTAGGAATATAGATAACTTTTCCTAATTATGTATCTTCCTTTTCTGATATTTAGGATACAACTTAACCTTCTCTGTGCTGTGCTAAGATGCTCAGTCATGTCTGACTCTCTGTGACCCCAAGGACTATAGCCCACCAGGCTTCTCTGTCAATGGGGATTCTCCAGGCAAGAATACTATAGTGGGTTGCCATGCCCTCCTCCAGGGGATCTTCCCAACCCAGGGATCGAACTCAGGCCTCCCGCATTGGAGATGGATTATTTATCATCTGAGCTACCAGAGAAGTCCAAGAATACTGGATTGGGCAGCCTATCCCTTCTCCAAGGGAATCTTCCTGACCCAGAAATCAAACCGGGGTCTCCTGCATTGCAGGTGGGTTCTTTACCAACTGAGCTACCAGGGAAATATCTTCCTTTTCTGATATTTAGGATACAACTTCATCTTCTCTACTGACTTCATTATTACCCTTCAATATGTTCTCTGTGTTTTAGAAATTTGTTAAAGATCTATCTGTTGCTGTTTCCTGGCCTCCTCTTATCCAACTTTAGAAGACTGATTCTCATTTGTAATATTTCATAGTCATTGTAGAGACATCCTGACACATGACAGGACATTCTTTCTAAATTGCTATGAATAATCATAACTCTTTAAATGTAAATGTCTTATATAATGTTCTTTGTAAAAGATAAAATTATAGACTGTCAGAGTTCCTATTTTGGCAAGCACTGTTTCTCTAGAACCAGACTTCTGGACTAATAAAATACCTTTACTACTGCTAAGTCACTTCAGTCATTTCCAACTCTGTGTGACCCCATCCCTGGGATTCTCCAGGCAAGAATACTGGAGTGGGTTGCCATTTCCTGCTCCAATGCATAAAAGTGAAAAGTAAAAGTGAAATCGCTCAGTCATGTCTGACTCTTTGCGACCCCATGGACTGCAGCCTACCAGGCTCCTCCATCCATGGGATTTTCCAAGCAAGAGTACTGGAGTGGGGTGCCATTGCCTTTACAGGTACCTTAAACCTGAATAGTACAATTTCTTATGAATCTAAATTTTTAGATCACTTCCCAGAAAGTAGACACTATCTCTGGCTACCTCACTAAATTTCTAGGATTTCCATTTAGGCTTCAGTAAGGAGAGTTTCCAGAGAAGCAAATGGCAACCCACTCCAATATTCTTGCCTGGAATCCAAGAGACAGAGGAGACTGGTGGGCTGCTGTCTATGGGGTCGCACAGAGTTGGACACAACTGAAGTGACTTAGCAACAGCAGCTGCAAGGAGAGCTTCCATTTTCCCTACCCTGGCTTCAGAACACTGCATTTTAAGAATGAGGTGGCAACAAAGTGGCCTTTCCATAATAAAGCCATTATGCAGCCCCACGCCAGTTCATGCTGGGAGTGCCTGCTACACATGACCTCTCATGAAATCCAGATGCTGCTTTATCACATTTGTTACTTTCCACAGTGTCTTCACTCCTGTCTGTCATCCTCCTGTATTACGTAAAGATGCCCCAATACCATCCCTTCATTAAATCTGAAAACATTAAGCTGATCAAGGAGAGATTTAAATAATTCTCTTAGAGCAACAAGATGGAAAACACTCCCAGTCTCTTTCCAATATCTCTTTTGCACTCACCCTGCTCACCATGTACCATACCTGTGACCTCTGGGTGCTTCAGCAGCAGGAGGAGCCCATATCTCAGAGTGGTGCTTGTCGACTCTGTCCCAGCTCCAAACAAATCAAATACAGTGGTTGTCAAGTTTTCAAGAGTAAACTCCAATTGTTGATTTTGTTTTTCCTAGGAATGATTTGATAAAATTGTTTGACAAGCTAGTTCATCAGAATTGCCCTTAATCCAAAATAGCTCATGGTTTTTTAAAGTTAAGGCAACATACAAACTACTTGGCAATCACAGAAAAAAAAAAAAAAAAACCACTGTACAGAAAAACAAAATATTATAGATCAGTTGACTTAAATGCCATTTTCTCCTGCCTTATTCCTCATTTGCCTAAAAGTTCCATTCATCAGCTTCTTTTGCATTTAGGTAGTGGTTCAGATGGTAAAGAATCTTCCTGCAATGCAGGAGACTCAGTTTGATTCCTGGTTAGGGAAAATCCCCTGGAGAAGGCAATGGCTTCTCCATTCCCTGGATATTGGAATGGTTACCCACCCCAGTATTCTTGCCTGGAGTATTCCATGGACAGAGAGAAGCCTGGCGGGCTCCAATCCATGAAGTTGCAAAGAGGCAGACACAACTGAGTGACTAACATATTCACTTTCAGGTTATGCAGTTTAATTTTTTGTAAACAAGATATAAAAAGAAGCTTACTGGTACACTTCCTCTTTCTTAGTCAAAACAAGCATTTGATAGTTTGAAAGTGAAGGCATGGAAAAAGACAGTCCATACAAATGGAAATCAAAAGAAAGCTGGAGTAGCAATACTCATATTGGACAAAATAGACTTTAAAATAAAGACTGGAATTTTCTTGGTGGTCCAGTGACTAAGATTCTGCACTACCAATGCAGGGGGCCCAGGTTTGATCCCTGGTTGGGGAACTAAATCTCACATGCTGGAACTAAGTGTTCACATGCCACAATTAGAAGATCCTGCATGCCACAACTAAGACCTGGTACAGCCAAATAAATAAAGATAAACAAGCAAATTAAATACTGTTACAAGAGACAAGGAAGGACAGTTCATAATTATGAAGGATCAATCCAAGAAGATGTAACAATTGTAAATACATATGCACCCAACATAGGGGCACTTCAGTGTATCAGGCAAATGCTAACAGCCATTAAAGGGGAAATCTATAGTAACAAAACAATAGTGGGCAACTTAAACTTACAGCACGGGACAGATCATCCAGACAGAAAATTAAGAACAAAACACAAACCTTAAATAACTCATTAGACTAGACAAACTTACTGTCCTAGATATATAAAAAATATTAATTGGACATTCCATTCAAAGGCAGCAAAATACACTTTTTTGTCAAGCACACACGGAACATTCTCCAGGATATCATCTTGGGTCACAAATCAAAACTCAGTAGATTTTAGAAAATTGAAATCAAATCAAGAAACTTTTTCAACCACAAGGCTATGAGATTAGATATCAATTACAGGAAAAAAATGTATAAAACACAAACACATGGAGGTTGAACAATATGTTATTAAATAACCAATGGATCGGACATGACTGAGCACACACCCACCACACTGCAACTAATGGTATTATACATGATATTATACACAGAAAATCCTAAAGATGCTACCATAAACTACTAGATCTCATTGATGAATTTGGTAAAGCTGCAGGATACAACATTAATACATAGAAAAGAAATCTCTTTCATTCCTATACACTAACAACGAAAGATCAGAACGAGAAATGAAGGAAACAGACCCATTTGTCATCACACCAAAAAGAATAAAGTATCTAGGCATAAAGCTACCTAATAAGGCAAAAGATCTGTACTCAGAGAACTATAAGATCCCAATGAAAAAAATCAAAGATGACATAAACAGATGGAAAGATATATCATGTTTGTAGATCAGAAGAATCAATATTGTGAAAATGACTATACTACCCAAGGTAATCTACAGATTCATGTAATCCCTATCAAATTACCAAGAGCATTTTTTCACAGAATTAGAACAACAATAACAAAAAAGCATTTGACAAGTAAAAGTAAGCAGGCTGCTTTAAATACTGAGTAGAAGGGACTGCTAACATGCAAAAACATTGTGAAGCTGTCCTTAGGCGAGTATTAATTTCACGATGCATTTGCAACCTCCAGTGGCCCAGTGCCATGTCTAATATTAAGTAATAAACACACTCAAGGGAGACCAAACACTCTGAATGAGTATACTTTTTAGAGAAAGAGTCATTGCCTTTGACTTTACACAAGCTACAAGCTTGTCAATTCAAAAGTCAGTAAGAAAGGCAGTGAACTCATAAAACAATATTAATATTTTCATTTCTTGAATTGGATTTGAAGATGAAGCGGTTATGTGTATATAGCCTATCATTATTAGGCTATAGAAAACACTGCTGAAAGGAATTATATAAAACAATGTTGAAAGATTAAAGAAAACCTTCCCAGGTGGCGCTAGTGGTAAAGAACCCACTGGCCAGTGCAGGTAGATGGAGGAGACACAGGTTTGATACCTGAGTTGGGAAGATCTCTTGGAGGAGGGTGTGACAACCCACTCCAGTATTCTTGCCTGGAGGATCCCATGGACAGGGGAGCCTGGCAGGCTGCAGTCTACAGAGTCAGATAGGACTGAAGTGACTTAGCATGCATATAAATAAAAAGCCTTCCTCAACATAGATCAAAACACTCAGTATTGTTATGATAGCATTACTGAATTAATGTCACAAAGAAGGCAGATAGGAAGTTTCAGAAATCCATCCCTCCACTGAAACAACTGACCATGCACAAAGTATCTGAGCAACTACTTTGGGATTCTAGAAACTAGTTAGACATTTGCAGCCGATGTGCTTAAGTGCAATGTCTTATAAATGTGACATCTCCCATGCTGGTTAACATTCCTCATAACCCAGTTCCAAGGCAGACAGTTATGGAATGTGTGGACTGTATTTGTGGTGTAGCCAGCGGATCTCAGAGCAGAAAACTGGACCACATTTTTCTACATTGGGATTGTGTGTTTGGATCATTGAGAGGCTGGCACAGAGAACAACCACTGTTTCAATCTCCATGGCTTTCATTGAAAACATAAAGAGAATGCCT